GACAATAGTTCTCCTGTGTCTAGGTATACTTTGAGTGAAATTGTTCCTATTTGATTAATGTTTGGCTTGAATTGATGATTCAATCACAAAAGTAAGTTCAACAATTTTCCCTTGGAAAATCCCTTGTGTACGGAACTTGATTTGACTTCTATGACAATTCTGTGTTGGATACAGTACTTTGGGACATATTGAATTATTCCCTACTGCATTGTACACAATATCGATATCTCACTTGTATAGGGTCATTCCCTTTTTGTGTGGATGTAGTTTGTCTGACAGACTTGCGTTTGGCATACTTGTGGCGAATCCCGACATCACGATCAAAGTACGATCGTACGTGTCGAAAACTTTGTACTTGAATAGTTTCTTTTCGGAACGTAAAAACTCATATTTCGTCATATCCCAACAAAACGAGCTGGAGCTCCTAAGGGGAGAGAAGAAGCGCTTGGAGGATGCAGTCGCAAGCTTGTCGTCACAAATTGGAGACCTGCAATTTTCAATGAACATGCTTGGGAATCAGCACAGAGAACAGGAAGAGCTGATCGAGCAACTTCAAGTAGACAAGGATATGACAGAATCTGAAGCAACGGCACAAATTGATCGCCTTCTTATGGAGATTCAAGAGCTTAATACAACCAAAGTGTCTAGCGACAAAGAAAAAGAGAAAAGGATGAGAGCAATCTTGAGAAGGAAACTCAAGTTAATTGAACAATGGAAACAAAAATTGGAGTCAATGCACAATAAACACGAGAAGTTGAAAGGTGACCATGTGAACTTACGGGATGACTTTTCAAAATTGAATCAGGAAAAGCTCAAACTGACAAACTTCTCTAACGGACTATTGCAAAAGGAAGCCGAGGCTGATGCAATCTTAATGAAGGAAAAGGCCAACTTGGAACACTGTGCAATGCTTGGGAAGAGACAACAAAAGGAAAAACCAGTAGAAGCAGAGAAAGAGCGTGCTGCTTTGTTGCAGTCGCTGCAAACAGCCCTTGCGAACTCTCCGGAGCCCATTCCACCCTTCCTTGCGAGCATGAATCCGTCACCTGTTGCAAGCACGTCTTCATTCACCTCGGCGCAGCCCATTTCTAGCCTGAAGCCACCACCAGTTGCCAGCCAGAAGCCGCATTCCAAGCATAACGAGAAAGCTTAGACGGAAACAAGTGAAAGTGCGCTTGAAGTTAGACTCGTTTATGTATACTTTCTGAAACACTTACCGGACACAAAGTTGGACTCCAGAACTTGATTGATTGTAGATTAGAAATACGCTACGAAGTACTGCACCTCTGACGACGACGATTTAGTCTACCGTCTTTTTCCATATCAGTGTCTGGCACTGCATGCTTCAAATGATGTCACTTCCTTCTTGTAAGACTGGCTGAATGATACAAATGAGTAGCTCCATGCAATCCGATCTCAAAATGAAAGAGGGAAAAAAGAGGAAGATATAGCCTCCATGCAATCGGATCTCAAAATGAGAGGAAGATAGATTGAGGATTGCCAGGAAGCACATCAATGAATATACCGGTAGCTGTGTGCTGTGTGTTGGACCAAGAGTGGTTGGAGTCCGTTTGTCCGCCAATCATTGGATTTGAACGGGTGGCCACACAGACTACAGCACCTACAGGACTACGGTACGTTAGCGGCATGAAGATTGTACATGGCTAACGTAGTACTATGTTAGTTCTCGTGGCTAACGTAGTCACTACGTTGGCGACGTGAAGATTTTACGTCGCTAACGTAGTACTACGTTAGTTTTCGTGGCTAAGGTAGTCACTACGTTGGCGACGTAAAGATTTCACGTCGCTAACGTAGTACTACGTTAGTCACTACGTTAGCCACGTAAAGATTTTACGTCGCTACCGTAGTACACGTACTAGGCTATTATTTGCCAACATGCTTAATAGTGCTGTACATAAGCGACATAAAATCTTCACGTTGCTAACGTAGTACTAGGTTAGCTTTCGTGGCTAACGTAGTCACTACGTTGGCGATGTAAAATAGTTTACATGGCTAACGTAGTACTAGGTTAGTTTTTGTGGCTAACGTATTGACTAGTTAGCGACGTAAAATCTGTTACGTCGCTGACATAGTACTAGGTTAGTTTTCGTGGCTATTGTAGTCACTACGTTAGCGATGTAAAAGATTTACGTTGCTAACGCGGCTAACGTTGTGGCTATGTTAGCCACAAAGAACACGATGTTAGCTACGAAGAACACTACGTTGCCGACGAAGAACAATACGTTACACCGACAAGGAACATTACATTTCCAACGAAGAAAACATTTATAACATGCGACCTTTTATCTCTTTCCTATTTTAAAGCTGATAAATGCTAATAAATAGTTTATTAAGTATTCCCATTTAACAAAGACATTCGTGAATGACAAAGATAATGAGAAGCCGTTCGATTCTCATTTTGATTTCATTCAAAATCTGGAGAACGAAATCAATAATCACAAATGTCCGTCAGCACAATGAACACCCAACAACAACGTAAATCTGCATCAACACGCTGAACATGCAATATATACTTTCGAAGTAGCATTTGTTTCATGAGTCGTTGGTTTTTTGTAGTGGATCGTTTTGCCTGGCCTCCAAAACCTGTGTCGCTGGCATGCATTGTTTGTTTCTGTTTCCGCCGTGCGTCGTCTTTCAGTATTTGCTTCAATCTCGCGTTCACTGTTCAAATATAATCACGACGAACATTATATGTCTGCATGATTCCTTCTACTTCTCTGACGGCTGTTGAATCCTGATTCTTCCTGATCTGCTCCATTTACATTTTTCCCCCTTCCTCCAGAAATTGCTATCTTGTCAGAGTGAAAAAGCATAAGTTGATTTTTTCCCCAATAGCATTTAGTATTTTCCCCAATAGCACACAACACCTTCTGCCAACTGCCTCATGCCATAGATAGATAGTCAAGAAGATGTTTCCAAAGCCTATCTCTCGTCTTGGGCTTTGTTCTATCGATCAGTGCCCTCATTCTTTTATTTCGGCATCGTTCTCTGATGATTCAAAATTTTCACTGGTGTTTCAAAATCACTCTCGTACATTGTATCTACGACGTCTCTCGCAGAAAAATGTTCTGATGTATCAAACAAAAAAACAGTACAGTTTTCCTGTAGGTTGGCTACGTGCCTATTTTTGTCTAATGTTTCAAAACCTAGAATGGATCAGTTCGACTCATTTCGAGTTTCGTTAAAAAAGAAATTACCGCTTATAGTATTTCATCAAAAATCGGTTCTACCAGAAAATCTCTTTGGGGGCTACAGAAGGGGAAATCTCGATTTTGACTCATCTCCCAGGATTCCCGTCTATTGATATGATTTGGAATTCGAAGTTTCTTAATGACTCTGCGACCATCAAATGACCCGTTGTTATTTACAGAATTAGGATCAGAAAAGATCAAAAATAAAGTTGTTCTGTGAAAATGATATTGTTTAAAAACTGAAATATATTTAAGGCAGGGATCGCCCATCGAAAGACATCAGAATTCCCACAGTCAACCCCGCGCCGTACGGATTTTTGTCATTTGCCGGGTGTTCCTGGAACACGCGAGGAGTTGGTGTTTTTGGCGTCTTTTGCGCGCGTTGAATATTTAGTAGAAATTAAGAAATAGTTTTTTGCAGTCGTTCTGAAAAGAGAAAAGACCGAATGCTGAAGAGGAGTAAAAACCCGGATGTGCGTCCTTGATTTGACAACGTTAATTGGACCAGAGAGTGTCCGTGGTTGACGTACTTCTCGAGAAAACTGTTGGAGATTCCTCACTCTCTATTGGAAGATCACATATTACTGGAGATGCTGTTCTCCGATCAAATTTTCAAGGTGCCGTCGATTATCTCACAACACAAGTTTTAGCTGGGTAACGACAACACCCAGCGCCGCAATTGACAACTTGCTGCTTTTAATTGTGGTGGTGGCGGACGCGGTGGTGATGGTAGAAGTGGAGGTCGTGGCCAAGGAAATGGCACCACAAACCGTCTGCAATCGAATGTACCAGATCGCTTTAGCCAAAATGGGATACTACTAAATGATGGAGGTTATTCAAATCAAATCTGGAGAGAGGAGTTTACACAAGAAGAAAGAAATATTTGTTTAGAAATGCGTCACAACCGTTGCAATGGTGGTGGTCATGGCGGAAGAGGCCTTGAAGGCCGTTGTGGTCGTGGTCGTGGTATCAGCGCTGTCCATGATGGACGATCAAGAAGAAACAAAAGAAGAAAGTAACAATGAAAGTAACAATGATGGACGTGGGGCAGGTGCAGGAATGAGTCGTTGCCGTCGTTGACTTGGAACCTCATCTGTTAGATCCCTCATGAGCACTCGCCCAAACTCTCGTATGGTATCAGTGCTATCATCCACAAACACCCTTACCAACCGATGTGAACTGGACTCGCACGCAGATACATGTGCTTTTGACCCTGCTGGATGTTGCGTCCTTTCA